GAAGACACACTAGGAGAAATAGATTCATCGACCAAAGAAAATCTTAAGTACAACAAATCCCTAACACAAAACATCCAGGAAATATGGGACACTGTGAAAAGACCAAACCTAAGAATAATAGGTATAGAAGAAGGTGAAGAAACCCAAGTCAAATGGACAGAAAACATATTCAACAAAATCATAGAAGAAAACTTTCCCAACCTAAAGAAAGACATGCCAATGAAAGTACAAGAAGCTTATAGAACACGAAATAGAGTGAACCATAAAAAAGTCCCCTTGCTACATAATAATGAAGACCTCAAGCATACAGAATAAAGAAAGAATACTTAGAGCCACTAAGGAAAAAAGGTCAAATAACATATAAAGGCAAACCTATCAAAATTACACCTGACTTCTCCATGGAAACTCTGAAATCCAGAAGGTTCTGGATAGATACTCTGTCCACACTAAGAGAACATGGATGCCAGCCCAGACTACTACACCCAGCAAAGCTTTCAATCAGTATAGATGAAGAAAACAAGATATTCCATGACAAAAACAGATTTAAACAATACATATCCACTAATCCAGCCATACAGAAAGTTCTAGAAGGAAAACTGCAATCCAAGGAAGTTAGCTGCAACCAGACAAACATAGGTAATACATAACCCCAGTTTACCAACAGCCAAAAGAGAAAAGGTGTGGAAATCCACACACAATTCCTCCACCATCAACCATTCCAAAACAAACAAGAATGAGCAATCAAAGGTCATTAATATCCTTCAATATTAATGGTCTTAACTCACCCATAAAAAGGCACAGGCTAACAGAATGGATTCAAAGACAGAATCCATCCTTCTGCTGCATAGAAGAAATACACCTCAGCTTCAAAGACAGATGTTACCTCAGAGTTAAGGACCCAAGAAACAAGCAGGGGTAGCAATCCTAATATCTAACAAACTAGACTTTAAACTGGAATCAATCAAAAGAGATGAAGAAGGTCATTTCATATTCATCACAAGAGAAATCCACCAAGATGAAGTCTCGATTCTGAACATCTATGCCCCAAATAAAAAGGCATCCACATTCGTAAAAGAGACATTATTAAAACTCAAACCACACATAACATCTTATACACTTATAGTGGGAGACTTCAACACCCCACTCTCACTACTAGACAGGACTACCAGACAGAAATTTAACAAAGAAACAAAGGAACTAATAGAAGTTATGACCCAATTGGGTTTGACTGACATCTTTAGACCATTCCATCCAACACAAAAGAATATACCTTCTTCTCAGTGCCACATGGAACCTTCTCAAAAAATCGACCACATACTTGGCAACATATCAAATCTCAACAAGTACAAAAAAATTGGAATAACTCCATTTATCTTATCAGACCACCATGCTTTAAAGTTAGTATTCAACAACAACACAAATGACAGAAATTCTACAAACTCATGGAAATTGAATAATGCACAGTTGCACCATTCCTGGGTCACAGAAGAAATAAAACAAGAAATTAAAGACTTACTAGAATTCAATGAGAATGAAGACACAACATACCCAAATTTATGGAACACTTTGAAAGCAGTGCTAAGAGGAAAGTGCATAGCACTAAGTGCCCACATGAAGAAACTGGAGAGTAGTCACACTAGAGAATTAACAGCACAATTGAAAGCTCTAGAACAAAAAGAAGCAAACTCACCCAGGAGGAGTAGACCCCAGGAAATAATCAAATTAGTGCTGAACTCAATAAAGTAGAAACTAGGAAAATGATACAAAGAATCAATGTAACAAAGAGTTGGTTCTTTGATAAAATCAACAAGATAGACAAAACTTTATCCAAACTCATGAAATGGCAGACTGTGAACATACAAATTAACAAAATCATAAATGAAAAGGGGGACATAACAACGGACACTGAGGGAATCCAGAGAATCGTCAGGTCATACTTTGAAAACCTGTACTCAACAAAATTTGAAAATTTAAAGGAAATGGACAATTTTCTGGATAGATATCAGCTGCCGAAATTAAATCAAGAACAGATAAACAATTTAAATAGACTTATAACCCCTATGGAAATAGAAACAGTCATCAAAAGTCTCCCAACCAAAAAAAGCCCAGGGCCAGATGGCCTCATTGTAGAATTCTACAAGAAATTCAAAGAATTATACCAATTCTCCTCAAAGTATTTCATGCAATAGAAGCAGAAAGGTCTTTGCCAAACTCTTTTTATGAGGCTTCAATAGTCTTGATACCTAAGCCACACAAAGACACAATTAAGAAAGAGAACTTCAGACCAGTGTCCCTCATGAACATTGATGCAAAAATACTCAGTAAAATACTGGCAAATCAGACACAAGAACACATCAGAAAACTCATCCACCATGATCAGGTAGGTTTCATCCCAGGGATGCAGGGATAGTTCAACATACAAAAATCTATCAATGTAATCCACCACATAAACAAGTTGAGAAACTAAAATAACATGATCATCTCACTAGATGCTGAAAAAGCCTTTGACAAAATCCAACACCCCTTCTTGATAAAGGTCTTGGAGAGATCAGGGATAACAGGAGCATACCTAAACATAATAAAATCTATATACAGCAATCAACAGCCAACATCAAACTAAATGGAGAGAAACTCAAAGCAATTCTCCTAAAATCAGGAACTAGGCAAGGCTGCCCACTCTCTCCATACCTCTTCAATATTTTACCAGCCAGAGCGATCTTCAATATTGTTTTAGCCAGAGCAATAAGACAACAAAAGGAGATCAAGGGAATACAAATTGGAAAGGAAGAGGTCAAACTTCACTATTTGCAGATGATATGATAGTTTACAAAAGTGACCCGAAAAACTCTAACAGGGAACTTCTACAGCTGATAAACACCTTCAGCAAAGTGTCAGGATACAAGATCAACTCAAGAAAATCTGCTATATACAGATGATAAAAGGGCTGAGCAAGAAATCAGAGAAACATCACCCTTTACAATTGCCACAAACAACATAAAAAACACCTTGGGGTAACCCTAACCAAACAAGTAAAAGACCTGTATTGCAAGAACTTTGAGTCTTTAAAGAAATAAATTAAAGAAGACACCAGAAAATGGAGAGATCTCCCAAGCTCTTGGATAGGTAGGATCAACATAATAAAAATGACAATCTTGCCAAAAGCAATCCACAGACCTTGCACAATTCTTCACAGACCTTGAAAGAACAATTCTCAACTTTCTATGGAAAAACGAAAGACCCAGTATAGTCAAATCCACCCTGTTCAACAAGGCAATGCCTGGAGGCATCACCATCCCTGACTTCAAGCTCTATTATAGAGCTATAGTTCTGAAAACAGCTTGGTATTGGCACAAAAATAGACAGGTAGACCAATGGAATCGAATAGAAAACCCTGATATTAACCCACACACGTATGAACACTTGGTTTTTGACAATAAGCTAAAGTTATACAATGGAAAAAAGAAGGCATCTTTAACAAATGGTGCTGGCATAACTGGATGCTGGTATGTAGAACACTGCAGATAGATCCATGTCTATCACCAAGCACAAAACTTAAGTCCAAATGGATTAAAGACCTAAACATAAATCCAGTCACACTGAACCTGTTAGAAGAGAAAGTGGGAGGTACCCTTTAACGAATTGGTACAGGAGACCACTTCCTGAGCCTAACACGAGTAGCACAGACACTGAGATCAACAATTAATAAATGGGGCCTCCTGAAACTGAGTAGCTTCTGTAAGGCAAAGGACACAGTTAGCACGACAAAAAGGCAACCCACAGATTGGAAAAAGATATTCACTAACCCCACATCTGACAGAGGGATGGTCTCCAAAATCTACAAAGAGCTCAAGAAGCAAGTCTCCAAAGCACCAAAGGATCCAATTAAAAAGTAGGGTATAGAACTAAATAGAGAATTCTCAGTAGAGGAGTCTAAAATGGCTGAGAGACACTTGAGAAAGTGCTCAACATCCCTAGCAATCAGGGAAATGCAAATCAAAACATCTCTAAGATATCATCTTACTCCTGTCAGAATGGCTAAAATAAAAAACACCAGTGACAGTTTATGCTGGAGAGGATGTGGAGAAAGGGGAAATCTCCCCCACTGCTGGTGGGAGTGCCAACTCCTACAGCCATTATGGAAATCAGTATGAAGATTCCTCAGGAAAATGGGAATCAGCCTACCACAAGACCCAGAAATTCCACTCTTAGGCATATACTCAAAAGATGCACATTCATACAACAAGCACATCTGTTTCACTATGTTTATAGCAGCACTATTTGTAATAGCCAGAACCTGTAAGCAACCTAGATGCCCCTCATCTGAAGTGTGGATAGAGAAAATGTGGTACATTTACACAGTGGAATGCTATTCAGCAGAAAAAAAACAATGGAATCTTGAAATTTGCAGGCAAATGGATGGCACTAGAAGAAACCATCCTGAGTGAGGTAACCCAGTCACAAAAAGACAAACATGGTATGTACTCACTCATATGTGGATTTTAGACATAAATCAGGGTAGTTCCAGTCTACAATCCCACTGCCAGAGAGGCAGGGAAATAGGAAGGACCCTAAGAAAGTTATACATGGTGCCCCAGTGAAGGTGGAATGAGGCAAGTTTGGGAGCACAGGATGGTGGAGGAAAGGGAACCAGGAAAAAGAGAGGGAGACAAGAGGAAGGGAGAGGAGGACATGGGGGAGCAGGAAGGTTGAATTGGGGAAAGAATAGAGGAGAGCAGGATGAGATATACCATAATAGAGGGAGCCATTCTAGGTTTGAGGGGCAATCTGGCACTAGTGAGAACTCCAGAAATGTACAAAGATGACCCCAACTGGCAAACTAAGCAGTAGTGGAGAGACTACTTTAAATGTCCCTCTCTAATAATGATTTTCATGACTATCTTATATACCATCCTAGAACTTCCATCCAGTGACAGACGGAAACAGAGGCAGACACCCACAACTAAACACTGAACTGAACTCCTGGAACACAGTGACAGAGATGGAGGAATGATGAGCAAATGAGTCAAGATTGGGCTGGTGAGCCGAGCGGTGGTGGCGCATGCCTTTAATCCCAGCACTCGGGAGGCAGAGGCAGGCAGAGCTCTGTGAGTTCGAGGCTGGGCTGGTTCAACAGCCTCCAAAACAATACAGAGAAACCCTGTCTCGTAAAACCAAAAAAAAAAAAAAATAATAATAATAAATAAGAAAAAGATTGGGCTGGTGAATCCCAGAGAAACAGCTGACCTGAACAACAGGGAGATCTTGGATCCCAGACTGATGGCTGAGAGGCCAGCATGGGACTGATCGAGACCCCCTGAATGTGCGTGTCAGTGTGGAGACTCAGGCAATCTATGGGGTTTTGGGGTAGTAGATCAGTATTTATCCCTGGCACACAAATGGACTTTGGGAACCAATCCCACAATGAGGGATGCTTTCTCAATCTGGACACTTTGGGGAGGGCCTGGGCCCTCCCCAGAATGAAATGACAGACCCTAGAGATCCCCCATGAAGGGCCATACTCTCCCTGGGGAATGGAATGGGGATTGGGTGGGGGACTGGGGGGGAGGGAGTGGGCATGGACAGGAGGCAGAGGGAGCTGGGACTGACATGGGAAGCAAGCTTGTTCCTAATTTAAATATATAATAAAAAAGTGTTTAAAAAAAGAGAGAATGATTTTTAGCAAGAAACAACAAAATAAAAGAGCCCAAAGCTCAAATCTGGGGTTTGTCTATTGGAAGTTACTGACAACATTGGTAGAAAAAGAGACATATTTGGTTCACATTACAGCCCTCTTGCCCACCCCAATGCCTGGTGCGTGCTTACCAAGTCAAGGAGACATGGTGGATTCTCCAGCTGGAGGTCGGAACACGAGAAAGACAATTATAAAAACCCAGACAGGGCAATGTCATTCCCAGCCTAGGTGCTACTAGGCACAGCATAGGAAACTAAAAACTCAACGGGGAGAGGGCCGGGGCACTCAGGTGTTGGAAGTATTAAGCCCCACCCCCCAGGCTCAGAGGTTTAGGCAGTAGGAAAAAGAAACCTTGAAAAAGAATTGAGAAGAAAACCAAAACTAGCCTTCTGTAGGGGTAGAGCCCATGAAGGAGGGAGGGACAGGAACATTTGACACCATTAATCTAAAATTGAGAAATCCTAAGGTACCATCTTTAATTGGCCATAAGAGGAAGACCTGATTGCTTCTGGAAATCCACAGGAGAGGTGAAATGAGAGGAGAGGAAAGGAGGGGAGAGAAGGGAAGGGAAGAGGAGGGGATGGAAGGGGAGGGGAGGGAAGGGGAAGGGAGGGAAGGGGAGGGGAGGGGATTGGGAGGGATCAACAAGCCCCTTCCTTCCTAGGCACTAGAAGGCAGCCAGGGAACCAGTTCCAGGCAGTGACCTCCTCACAAAGACAGCACAGTTTTTATTCCTTAGAGCTGCCTGCCCGCCTGTGTGTGTCCCCTCACCGTGTGCCATTCATGGTGCTCAGAGCACTGTGGACCTGCACAGTGCTTGTTGGAGGAATTTGTGGTGGTTCCCTATGATCTTGTTACTCAAGCGGGCTTATTTCTGTGAACAGGTGTGGGTAGCATGCTCATTTTTCAGTATTGCTGAAATATAATGGACTTGGAGGATTAGGGGTTAGGCAGATCCCCCGATAGGCAGATGGACAGGAAAAGGGGCTACGGATAGGTAATAAAGATGGCAAACTTCCAGCTTCATCATATTCCTAATGGGAAACAAAGGCATAAAAGCCTGGTGGGATTTTTCTCCTGACAGTAGGGTTGGCTTGATCAGTGTCACAAGTTCAAGTTTGGATCAGGACGGGCTTATTCCAAAGTTATGGGCCTGTTAGCCTCTGTGTCTTTAGATTCAAACTAACCAACACTGAGTTAGGGGAGGAAGACTGCTCAAAGATCGGTAAAACCCCCAGGCCCAAGGAGAGACCAGACCCCAGGCTCCTGACAGGCTCCTGAGTGTCCCCTCTCCTCCACAGAGAGTCTTTCTTTCTGCATGTTCGCTGTGCGTGTTCCCCACCCCTACTAAAAGTCTCTCTGCATGAGCTGACTCTGTCTGCTGTGTCTGAGACATCTTCTGTCACTACCTGTTGTGCTCAAGATTTTTCCTCCCTTTTTAATTCTTTCAGTGGTAGAGGAAACGAACCTCCATCAGGACCTTAGATGGTAACGGAATGAGTTCTAGACCTAGGGCCAGGTGAGCTTGTTACTAGTCCAGGAACTGGTCAGAGAGGGGAGAAGCAAACTGATATACACTAAACTTGCTGCAGCAGAGACACTTGGTTATTGCTTCTTTTCTTCTCCCCAGCAGCCTAAAAGTTGGAGATACAGATAGTGCATTTGTGGAGGAAGAAGCTGAGACTGAAGACCTTGGGCCCTGGCTTATAACGGAATCTGAATAAAACCATACCTCTGATTTCAAAGCTGCTGCGTCCTTAACATTGTAATCTAAATGCATGCCATATAATAGGTGTATTTTCCATTAGAGTTCAGCCACAGCAGCAGAAGCAATCATACATATGCATGAATGCAAATATGTGTAGGTGGTAAATATTTGTAACGGGGAATTGTCTCTCCTGCATTTGGGAGGCTAGCTAAGCAGGATGTGTGAGGATGTTGTTGTCCTCACATCTGATGTTGGAGCTCAGTGTCCTCAGGGCATATGTCCTCATAAAGGACAGATCATGGAGCATGTGCTCAACACACACAGGGTGTAACCCCAGGGGGACAGACTGAGCCCCGCTTCTCTTCTCATTGCTTCTGACCTTGGTGACAGAATTCCCTACAGATGTTTTGTGTTTCATTGCAGTACTCAAAATACACAAGTGGCCCAGAACTCGCTCTGAGAATCCAAGGGAGGATGGAGGTGGGGGTAGAGGTACAGTGATTGCCCACCATGTGGCCTTGGCAGCCTTGAGTGGAATCAGCTTCAGCAGTGTAGTATTGGTCACAGCACAGATACTGCCTTTGGTTTTTTTTTTTTTGACAACACACAAGGAAGGGGTTTCTAGAAGATGTAGTTGAGCCTGGACATATTGATCCATTACAAAGATGCCATAGGCATTCAACAACTATTTGCATGATGTTGTGGCACTTCTCTTGGAAATTCTTGAAGAGTCAGATTACTTCATCCTGGCTCTGCCTCTAACACATCACACAGTTTCAGACAACTCGCTGAGCTCTCTGAGTCTTGTTTTCCTCACTTGTAAAACTCCATGAAAAAAAATCCCCTCTCAGCCTACTGAACACAACTTTTACAAAATCAGTTGAGCTAATCCAAACAAACGCATAAAACAAACATGCTGAAGTGTTGCATTACTTTAATTGCTGTTACCAGTAATTCAGGTCTTAAATGAGTCATGTGACAGATTTGCCATGCACATAGCCAGGAAGATTAAATTAGATGCAAGTGTAGAAACACTGTCTGTCAGCTATTCCATGGCCTGCTCTTCAGAAGGAAGTCATTGTCATTGGAGGTGATGATCCGTTTTCACATTGCATTTTAGTTATGGGCTGACTGACTCAGGGGGACCAGCATGTAACTGGAGCTGTTGGTGACTCTGGGAGCTGAGGGGCAGTGGCCCTTCCTTGAATGGAAGTTGTGAGCAGTGGATGAGGTTTCTGTCCTATAAATCTGGGCTTGCATTTCATAACAGCCAAACTTGCTCATCAGGATGAAGAAATCCCTGCGGAAGTTCTTGGTGAAGATGGCATAGAGGAAAGGATTGGCACAGGAATTGATGGGGTAGAACAGGACCAGGAGGATCTTGGCCTTGGACACAGTGATGAGGGGCGCCTTGAGAGAGGCAGAGATGGCGAAGAAAGAGATGGGGGCCATGCAGAGGAAGTCGGTGAAGATGAGTGTGGCCATGCGCTTGGCGATCTTGGTGTCACTTGACGAGGACACGATGTTAGGGTTCCTCACTGTGAGGTAGATGTGGGTGTAGCAGCCGCAGATGACTACAAAGGCCAGGACATTGAGGACAAGCAGGGCCATCACATACAGCTGCGACAAAGGGCTGTCAATATCCATGGGTAGGCAGATGCTCACTTTCATGTAGCTGCTGACTCCGAAGATGGGGAGGAGAGCAGCTGCAAAGGCAAAGACCCAGCCCATCACCATGACGCTGGCAGCGTGGCGGAGCTGCACCTTGCGCTCCAGCTGCATGGCATGCGTGATGGTATGCCATCTTTCCAGGGTAATGGCCGTCAGCGTGTAGACTGATAGTTCACTGGCAAAGACTGTAAAAAAGCCAGCGGCATCACAGCCCACTCCTGTTTGCCAGTCAATGGCGTAATTGTGGTACTGGCTCTTGGTATGGATATCAACTGATGCTATGAGTAGCAAGTAGATTCCAATGCAGAGATCAGCGAAGGCGAGGTTACACATCAGGAACCGGGGCACGGTGAGTTTGTATTGGCTGGTAGTTAGGATCACCAGCACTGTGATGTTCCCCGTGATGGCCAGGATGCTAATGAACCATATCAAGACTCTGAGGATGTTGTACCCCATGATATCTTCACATGGATTGAACGCGTCTGGCTTTGGGGAGCATGTCACATCAATGACTTCATTACATAAGTCGTAGTCAAATTCACTGTACATCATGTCGGTTTCTTTTCCATAACTGAGGTCGTCATCTATCAGAGAGGTGTTCTGATCCCTAGCCTGAGTCACATAATCGATATCTTGCCTTAAAATAGATTTGTTGCAAAGCGGATGAAGTTCAGAGCTAGAAAAATACAAAGAGGAATAGAATCAACATCGTGGGTATGGAATGGCAAATATATTACCATCTTTGTACAGAGCAGAAACAATAGGGTTCCTTCTTGAGATTGCTTTGCTTTCCAACGTCTTGTCTGCCCTTGAGGCTGACTCATGGGTTAATGCTGTTTACTGTAAATGAACAGAGCAATGTGTGTATATATATTCCTAGAGCTGGATGGCCCACCGGGGGAAACCATCTGGCCACAACCTGAATGTGGGGAGGAAGGCGCCTGGGACTAGCTAACCCTTGCTGTTAAGTGCAAATAATTTACAGACTTGATATTATCTTCACTCCTTTCCTTCCCGTCTCCATTCAGGTATCTTCTAGCCTGCCTGGGTAGACATTCTCCTATTTCTCTGGAAGATTATGCTCTCTGACATGAATGAGGGCTTATTTGCTAGTATTATCTGCCCAAACCAGAGTATGAGAGTGTGTAGTTAATTTTCAGGCAGCCCTACCCTTTGGTTCTTGGGTTCTTAGGCTATTGAGAGGTCAGCTAATTTTCCTGAAATGCTACCAGGGCCTTGGGCTTCATCATCTCACTCCCCAGAGGTGACAATAGGTCTTAGGCATTCATTTGCTCTGCAAAAATAACCCTGTTTCTCTCATATGAAATGGTTCCCTCGTGGGTGGCCAGCAGAGTGAAGGTAGTTTTTAAAGGAGCCTAGTTTGTTCACAGGTTGTAACATCTCCGGGGAGCCACCACTGAGTCTTCTCAGGGCACCTCTCTCTCTCTCTCTCTCTCTCTCTCTCTCTCTCTCTCTCTCAGCTCAAATATATAATAGATATAACAGACCTTGTCAGCAGGATGGCGGCACTTACAGAACAAACTGAATGAAACCCAGGTGGTATATATCCAATCCGCAAGTGTATGCATAAATGTCTACTAAGACTCTCACGTGGACAGAGGTGATACTTGTGTAATGTAAAGGCTTAACCAGTGTGACTTGTTCACATGGGGAAAATTCTTGATGGAGAAAAGAAGTCAAACATGCATCTTTTCCTTCAAACGTGTATCTTTACTCTTTCTTTCCTTTCTGCTCAAGGGGAAAGTTCACAGCAATGCTAAGTGATAGCATTTTCTCAAATTCAACACGATCTCAGACAGCAGGGAGGTGAGAAAGAGCATTAGAGCCCCCCAAATACCCCCATAAGGAGAGGCAGGTGGCTGGAGGAGGAGCGGCCCTCACTTGCTTCTACAGGATGCAAGCTTGTGTGTCCAGTGCCATAGACTAAACTTTCCCCTCACCCCAGTGAGAAGGGGCATCTCGGAGAACCCCAGTCTCCTCTCACCACTGGGAAAGGAACTAAATGGCCAGAAGTCATTTTATCTTAATCTTAGAGACTCTGTTTTTCTTTCTGCTTTTTTCCTTCCTGGGGTAACCCTCTTTTATTTTAGAAGCTGTCCTAGCTACACTAATGAGCTCAGTTAACACACATAACTGAAAATGGCTAAAATGGGAATGCAGGACACCATCGTGTTTGGTCAGTGAACTAAAGAAGGCAAGCTCCAGGACAGGTGTAGAGGGGACAAGAGAGTCATTCTGTAGTGCTTAGTTTGAATAATGTCTCTGGGTTAGCTGCAGCCCAGCTCTAGGGGCAGAAATAACTTCTCTGGTGCTTGCCGGATTGCCGTCTGGCTTGGTAGAATCAGAGCGGTAGAGAAAGTCTCCTTTTCCTGGGGTTCCTGGCTTTAGTAAAGAAGATTCCTATCATTGATGCTACCACCAACCTACTTAATAGTGAGCTCTCCTTTACTTGAAACAGAAGTCACCCACTGACACGAGGTACTTGTGTCCCTTGAGATAACAAGAAGAGGCAGGTGGCTATGGGGATGGGCAGCCCTCCTTTGCTTCTACAGGATGGGAGCTTGAGTGTCCAGTGCCATAGAATAGCTGAGGAAGACAAGTGTTTTCTTGCAGTATCTTGGCAAATCAGTCATCAGTGGAATAAGGAATGGGGAGTTAGCATAGTGATGGTTTAAAACTGGAACTCCTGGACTCCAGCCATTGATGGACTGATGCTGAGTGGTTGGCACCAGAGGGTACCCCAGAGCCTGAGCTTTGGAAGCAGGCAGAGCTGAGGTTTGTGAGTTTCCCTTTGGTCAATGTTGATCCTATTATCCAGGGCCTATGAGACCTAGTTTCTGCCTTTGTTGGGAGGGAGCCACGGTGATAGTGATGCTTTTACCTTTGCAACATTAGCAATAGAGATGAAATGCGCTACATTGTGTGTGGCAGGGAATGCTTTGCTTTGCCAGCCATGGGAAGAGCAACTGATAGTGGTCACCAAGTTGGGGTCCAGGCCTGCGGGGGTACCTGGAAGCATGTGCCACCGTGCATCAGTTTAAAATACAGTAGTAAGGAAATGGCCTCAATACAAGAACAGAAGAGAAACAGAGCAAAGCTAGCTGAGTATAGAAAACATCTGAATCAATGACAATTAAAGGGTGTGGTTGACCCAATATTTCAACAGGAGTCCAGGAGGGCTGTTAGCCCAAACCCTTGGTATCGTGGGGGGGTGTATTTATAGTGTGGGCATTATTTCCCAATCTGGACCAGAAGTACAGTTTCATCAAACAGCTTAGGAGACAGATCTTATTATCAAACTTCCATTCACATGTTAAGTAATGAAATGACA